ATTGGGTATTTACTAGAAAGTTTGTATCTTATAAGCTAACCACTACTCCCCTAATAAGGGAAAAATTAAAAAGGAAATCTGTAAGACAGTTTCCCACGTAAGTTAAATGCGTAGCGCTGTCAATTCCATACAGCAATTGGTTAATTGAAACAATTGCTTTTGAGAGATAAATATCTTTCACTCCTAGGTACCATGAGGAGAACATGTATTGTTATTAAAAGCACTTTGGGGTTCATTTTACTTGCTCTTATGTTAATTTTTCTATTGTTCTAAATTATCAGGTTACCCTGGTCACTCCAGAGCTAAAGTCGCTGAGCTATCCAAGTTTGGACGTCCTGTAAGTCACAAACTCTTCATTCAGTTATCACTTGTTTTGGTTGGTAATTTTTGTCAGTTTATTTGTTGATTGATTATCTTGCTGTTACATGCATTTTCAGCTTCTTCCTATCCTGGTACTCCTTGTCGTGCTAGAGTAGATTACCTCAATTGAATGTCTATAGGTACCAATATAAGAGTTGATATTTGTTATATATCAATGAAGTTGAATTCACAAGTGGACTGGAATTTATTTCTGGCAAATTCAACATAAAAGTAGGTCATGTGTTGCTTTTATTTCTGGTGATTGATAGTGAAAAAAGTGATCAAAAGTATAAAAGTTCCTCTTCTATGTTAGTCAATGCATCTAAGAAGCATCGCTCTTGATGTTTTGAGTGACAGAGATGGATTAAATGTTTATTGGTTGAAATGCTTTTTGTGGTTACAGAGAGCTTTCTGTTTTGGTACTTTATACTATTAAGCAAAGAATTAACTTGAAAGGATAAGTGGTAAGATTACAAAACAAACTAGAAAACTGATGTTGCAATACCAAGTACTATCCACAACACCAGGTTTATGATCGTACGATAATCTGAAAACTGTGAAATTGGCATACAGTGTTCTGAGGCACTCAATTGTTAGGTGTCTAGACTCTCTCGATTGTTAATTCTGCTCTGAAAAGATAAATAAAAGAATTCACACGCTGTTTGCTTTCCATTGTAAAGGCAAAAATGCGGAGCTCTTCTTGGTGGGCACGCTTCTTTGTGCAGACCAGCCTACAAGAGAACGATGCTGCAATGAAAACGTTTGAGAAGGCTGCAGCGAACGATGGATACAAGTCTAGGTGTCAGATTTTCCATGTTAAATCATTCCATTGACACATCAACCATCTCACAGTTAAGAGAGCAATCTCTTCATTGTCGGTGATATTTTTAGCAGGTCTTTAAAAGTCTCATTTTTGCACCTCCCACATCAAGGGAAAAAAGAAGCAGGAATGAAGAAAAATATCCTGCGTCATTTTGAGTAATTCAATATGTACAAGCAGACTAATTGAAAGTTGAAACTTCTGATTTTCATAAATTTCATACAGTCAACACGTTATATAGGTAATAGGTTCGCTATTTGGTATGAATTGTTTGCATCTGTATTATTTGTTGTCTGCATCTTTATTATCAGGATGTTTCTATACTTAGCGTAAAATTTCTCTGTTCTACCACAAACTAAATTGCAATTGCTATTGAAAGACTATGGAGCTTCTTAAAACATGGCATGGTATGGTATAATCTGCTAACTATTTTGTCCATCTCATCTAATACTCTTGAACCAGATATTTATCTCTGCACTGTTCTAAAATCTCTTAGAAGGTAAATGCTACTACTGAAGTAACTGAACTGTAAGAACATAATATTAAGAGTAAATGAATTGGTCTACTTGATTCTTAGACAGGCCAACTTTGCAGCTTAATACTTATTATGTAGGAGTATCAATGGCAGGTAGGGCTGATTTTGGGCGGGTCAAAATGGGCTTAGTCAATAAATGAGGGGGTCATTGACCCGTACAAAAGTTAGTTGGGCTGAGATGAGTTGGGCCAAGATTGGCTAAAATTTGGGTCATAACCCAATCCGGTCCAACTCTTATCAAGCTTTAAATAATGGGAAATTTTCGTTCCTATACCATATAGGAAACTATATTACCAAATATGTTCATAGTTTGCATATTACCCGCCATGCTAATAGTATTTCTACAAAATATAGACAATTNCATTTCCGCCCATCGAAGACACCCACCGAATGCGTCTCCAACGAGCGGAGGGACTAACTGTATAGGGTCAAATTTGACCCTCAGCATCTCTATGCCAGTGGGTACGCCCAGTGAGTGTACACCGACTAACGTAGCGGGTACGACTCGGACGTGGGGACAAAAGCGACATCGTTTAGGACTCAGTGTCTTCACTAGGGAGACGTTACCTGTCTTTGTAACTTTTTGATTCTTTCGAGGAAGGTCTCTTATTATATAAAGGAGACCTCCACATTGTAAAAAAGGGGATTCTGATCTAATACAACTCTCTCATTTTCTGGCTCTCTCTCTCTATCTCTGCTTCAAACGAACATATCTTATTGAGTCCATATTATCACTTTGCAATACTAGATCTACAACAATAATATCATCTTGGCATCTCTAGGTTTATTATATTAGATTACGATTTACCCTTTTCTTATTTTTGATTGTTTTCTAGCTTACAAAGTACATTGTTAATTTGAGCCAAACAATTACAAGGCGTGGTCTTGAGTTTTTGTCCCCCCACTTGCCCCATGGCAAACTTTTTGTACTTATTTGTTCCTGGACAACCTTTAAGGTCAAATTTTCAAAAGTTTTGCCAAGAGAAAAACTTTTTAAACTTGAAAGTTTGCCCATGGAGCAAGCAGGATCAAAAGTTCACGACCAACCACTTCTAACGCATCTTGTAAATATGAACACACAAAGGATTATCTTCTATTTTATTGTGAGAGATAGAATTTGATTTTACTTAAAATTAATCAACCAATCAATTATGTTCCTAATATTAAATAATTTAGGATCGACTATCCGAAATGGCTATAGTTTCTGCTGTATTTGGATTCCTTGCAATTTAAAGGGAAATTTTCGTTCCTATACCATATAGGAAACTAAATTACCAAATATGTTCATAGTTTGTATATTACCCGCCATGCTAATAGTATTTCTACAAAATATAGACAATTCATTAAATAAGGAATCATTGGAGCTGTAGGCTTCCTTATTTAGACGCGCTAATATTGGGGAATTAAATATTCTCCCAGATATTTTGCAACGCAAATCACGCATTAATAATTATCGGCTGTTTCGATTCAAAATTTAGCGACTCTGTTTTTGCGATACACTGTGTTTCAACATTTTTTCTGATTTCATAAATCAAAAACGACTAAATCTTCTACAATTCTTCTGCAACAAACGCAATTATGTCCAAAATCCCAATTATGCTACAACTGAATGGGAATTGGGATAGCTATGGGAGATTTAGAGAATTTCAGGTCGATGGCATTGTAGTCGATAAGGATGCGAGTTATAGTCTATTGATTTCTACAATATCACAACAATTAATGATCGATACATCTGAAAAAATTATAGAAATCAAATACATTATCAACGAGCATTGTCCTCCAATGGAAATTAGGAACGATATGGGTGTTCGTGTATACATGGAGACGAAAAAGGAAAATAAAAACTTAGGATCAATCCGCTATGTATAACTGTTTGCGATTTCAATATGGAATTGAGTATCACCAATGAGAACAAAGTTGCAGGTTTGTGCTGTTACTTTTTCTATCAAATTCTGGTTGTATATCAATGTCCTACTCTTTATCTACAGTTTATCTATAAATAAACTACATGTCAGAGCAAATATATATATCAGTATGGATTTTCACAATATCTACAAAATTTCTACATTTATTCTACAATAAAACTACATATCATTTGAAAAATTAATATGAAATAAAGAATTGCAATGTTTCTACAAATTATCTACAAAATTTCTACAAACTGTTCATAAAAGAATTTATCTTTATTTTCATGCAGGTTCGTCTGGAACACTAAAGTTACTTGATATGCCGACATCTCCCGTTATAGAGGAATCTGAAAGTATAATAATAACAGATAGTACACCAAGGTTTATTGAAATAGGACAAGTATACCAAGACAAGCAAACAATTGCAATTGCAATGAAGCACTATTCTGTCATGCACAAGTTCCAATTCAGGGTTAAAAGATCTAGTGCTAGAAGGTATGAACATTGCACTTGCTATTCTTTTTTATTTTGTAGTTTATTTTTAAATTTTTACTTCTTCAGTTTTTTGTATATAAACTGTTGTATATGATCTTTTATGCTAAAACTATTTTTTTGTGTGATCTACATTTTTTATACCAGTGTTTAAATTATTTTTATTTTGTAGCTACTGGCTGGTATGTGTTGGTGAAAATTGTACATGGCACTTCAAGGCAACTAGCATAAATGATTTTGCAATGTTCAAGGTTAGAACATTCAACAGCTTGCACACATGCTCTTTGGTAGTTGGTAGCATGGTTATTCCAAAATATGTTGATCCTAAGACAATTTACACACCAAAAGACATACAAACTGATATGTTGTCTGAACACGGCGTGAACTTAACATACATGCAAGCTTGGAGAGCAAAGGAAAAGGCTTTGGAGTTTTTGAGAGGTCATCCTGCTGGCTCATACAGCAAATTGCCTAGTTATTTGTATATTCTGGAGAAGACTTATCCAGGGTCTGTAGTTAAATTGAAGAAGACGGACGGTGACTGCTTCTTGTATGTATTTGTTGCGATTTGTACGTCAATCAGTGGTTGAGAATATTGTAGGCCAGTTGTAGTAGTTGATGGGACCTTCTTAAAGTCAACATACAGGGGAATAATGCTAACAGCTAGTACAATGGATGCAGCAGATATTGTAGTTTTATTATAGAAATCTTGTAGAAATATTGTAGCTTGTCTGTTTTTAGTATTACTTGTAGATTTACTGTAGATATATTGTTGAAAAGTTGTAGTTTGTATGTATATGTCTTCCTGTGCATTTTTCCTGCAGCCAATTAATTGCTATTTGCCACATAATGTAGGTACCATATTACCATTGGCATATGCTGTTGTTGATTTAGAAAATGACACATCATGGAAGTGGGTTTTTTAAGCAATTCAAACATGCATATGGTGAAAGACCAAATATGTGTATTGTTTCGGATCGGAATGAGTGTATCTTGAAGGCAACGTCTATTGTTTATCCCGACATGCCACATTATTCTTGCATGTGGCATATTTGGACAAATATAAGGGCAAAGTTCAAGAAGGGTCATCTAAAGTTAAGCGAATTGTACTTTGCCACGGCGCGATCACACACGCTTGATGAATTTAATGAAAGGATGTCAAAGATTGAAGAGATTGACCCGCGTGTTAAAGAATACTTATACGATATTGGCTACCACAGATGGTCTCGAGTACATGCTACGGTGAACAGAACTTGGACTATGACATCAAACATTGCAGAGTCGTTGAATGTTGTAACAAAATATGCAAGAGAGCTGCCGATAGTAGAACTATTAGAGTATATGAGGACTCTTCTTAAACGCTGGACGAAGGAAAAGTTATTGAAAGCAAAGGGTATATTCACATACCTTGGGTTTAAATTCAGCAAAGAGTTGGATGACAACAGAACATTGTTGCACAAGCTTAGAGTAAGATCTGATCATTTATTGCATCAAATTAATTTATACAGGACAATGTAGATAATTTGTAGATATTTTGTAGATATTTTGTATTTAACCGTATATGAATTGTTTTTTTTGTTTGTAATGTAATTGTAGGTGAGGGCTTCAACAGACTACATCCATACAGTACTAGATGGTGTGAGACGCTATATTGTTTGTCTTGAAAACAAGAGATGTAGTTGTGGGCAATTCCAGCTTAATGAACTTCCTTGTCCACATGCTTTGGCTGCTTTAAGACACAGGGATGAGTTTTTTGAACAATATTGTTCTCCTTATTACACAAGGAAGAACCTATTGCGTACTTATGAAATACCAGTAAATCCCCTGCCTGATGAAAGCAAATGGAATATGCCACAACATATATCTGAAGAAGTAGTAAATCCACCTACAGGAGGGAAAAGGCATCCAGGAAGACCTCAAAAAGAAAGATACAAAACATATGATGAAATAAATTCAAAGAAGTACAAGGTTTCATGTGGCAACTGCGGAGGAGAAGGGAATAACAAAAGATCTTGCAAGAATGCACCCAAAAAGAAATAAAATTTTATGTAGTTAACAGAATATTTCATAAAAATTGTTGGTGAATTCAGGATAACAGAATTTGATGTGTAATTGTTGAGGTTTTTTAAGATCATAATGTAGTTAGTTAGGATTTTTATGTATTGAGATAATACTTTCATAGAGTGATTTGTTTATGATTGGTTTCTATATATATAATCTATCACTTTTTTACTATCTCTAGCGTCCTTTACATAGTTGTTAATATTTTTTTGCAATTTATCTACAATACAACTACAAAAAAATTACATTAACTGGAATTGACAGAATAACTACATTATAAATCAGTAGGAAAGGAGTTATATACTAAAATATTGTAGATCAAGTACTGTTTACATTTAAC